TTTCTTTAATAAAACAACTACAGATTTGCAAATGTACACAATACAAGATATGTATTTATACTGTTTAATAGTTTTATGTCAGCTTAACTTTGCAAATGTTTTTGCTGTAAACTACAATAATTTTAACATCAGTAAAAACAAATTATTTCAGGTCACAAAGAATTGTTTAATGAATTAATTTTTATCACAAAGAAATATCCTTTTCACAATGATGCAGGCTGTATCTGAAGCTGACTCATGATAGTTAGACTGATGCAGTCTAACTAGTCAACAATCCAATAAAATCCATATTTTACATGTTTAATATCAGTAAATAATATATTTGACAACAGATAAAATCGATTCTCAATAAGGTTAAACGTGAACACTGAAGCTTTTTAATGTTAGCATACAGGTTTTATGATGAAAATAATTAACTTTGTTTAACTATGCGTAATATTCACCAGTGAAACATAACTCTTTTAGCTCTTGTAAACATGTTGTAACAATTTCTGCAGTTTATAGCAAAATATTTGTACCATTTATGCGTTTATAAAGTGTTTGCACCGCGCTACGTTCTGCTCATTGATTTAAATGGTTAGCGTTAGCATTAACTCAATGCATAAAAATCCCCCTTGTGAAGCACGCCCAGGTTACGTGACGCCCAATACAGTAATATATATTACTAACTGCGTTTCCATTGACCATGAAAATGCACAAATTAGAATTTCGATAATAAATTTGCTCAATAGAAACACGTCTATTTCGAAAAAAATTATGTTTTTCGACTAAATGGTTTTGCGCTAGGAAGAGGTGGTTTTTCGGCCGTATCGAAATTGGTGTTTTTCACAAAACTGCAATGGAAACACTTTTTTTGCATTACGGGAGTCACATGATCACAACCGGCTGTTTCTACTGGTGAAAAAGATGATGAAGAAGATAACAGGAAATAAAAGTAGTAGTGAAATCACCGAAGTAGTAAAAGAAAGTAGTAAACTCACTGACTACATTTTCCCATGAACGCAGCATATGTAGCCTATCCCAGGTGTAAAAGGCTTGTCACTCAAAAGCCTCGATAAGACGCCGACGTCTCCTCTGATGATGAGCGCTAGTGTCGTGGTAGCCATCGCCGCCATGTTTGTAATGACTTATCGTGAGAACAAGCGTATTCACGCGTGACTTTAGTAGCATTTCTTACTTAATGGAAACACCGCAATTGCGAAACTGTTTTTYGACATTAACAGAATTTCGACAAAGTTTTGCGCACACTTGCAATGGAAACGCAGCTAATGAAAAACAACACCATGGGTGTGTGTTTGATGAGGGAATGATTTTATAACGTCATATAAAAAAGTCGAAAATAAAATTGATTTCGCACAACAGCCCTACTTGAAAAGGTAGAGAATATACAGTATATTTTTTAAAATCTCACCTCTATTTGCAGCTTGATGCTGTTGGCGCTRTTGCCTTTAGCTTCAGAAAGCTCCACCATAAAGATCCATAACAAAGACAGCCCATGATGGTCTAAGAACTGCTTCAGGCACGATGGATTCTGGGTGTCCTGTGCAACAGAACAACACGTCATACAGAGAAGTAAACACAAACAGTGCAAATAAGACATTAAATCCTCAGGTCAAACCTGTATGAGCTTGAGACAGAGGAGTTTCTGCTCCATAGTTTCCACTCGGACCATTAGCCTGCAGAGAGACACCACCTGTTTCTCGTCATACAGACCTTCTCCATTCTCCAGCAACGCCTCCAGCTCTTCATCCACCTGTGAGAGAAGAACACAGGGATACATTCAACATTACGTTAAGCTTGTTCGTTGGAGTGAAGCACATCCAATAAACCAATCCATAAGCCTCTGAGATCATTTATGCACTCCTAGTTAAAGCACTACTTTGGAAATGAAAAGACTGCCCACATATGGCAGATCAAGCTGACCGTGGTCAGAGCGCTCTTTCGACTGCGATCTTTCTTCATCTTCCCCCCAGCTGCTCGAACACTAACTCTGTTCTCCCCACCGAGGAAGCCTCTGCAGCTGGGTGCACCACAGAAGCATTTCTGTGCTTCTTTCCTGTTGGGGGG